CGCTGGTTTAGTACAACCAGGACGATTCAACTCCGTTAGTTCATGCCTTCAAACGCATCCGGGTCATAAACGTCCAACTTCTGTTTCCATTGTATGAGGAAGCGCCAAATCTTGCAATAACTCTTCTGACCGGAGTGACCAGAATATTCAACGAATGTACATTGACAAAGGCACGGGCGAAAACGACTGGCCATTTGAAATATCATGGTGTGTAGCTCACACTAACCCCAATGATTAAGTCATTGCCAAAATAGGCTACTAGGTTCATTGGTTGCACGTGGTTTAACAGGCACATGGTGAGCGCAATCATTGCAGGGGGTAGCCTCTTGGTGTACAGTTTATTGAGGCTTTTGTGATCAGATAACACCTACCTCAGTATTAATCACGAGCTGACAATCGATGTCAACTTTGGACAAACTAATGAAACTTGCACTCCTTAACTGTGCTTTGTAAACCGGTGGTTCCGACTTACGTTTGTTCACTCTGTAATCACAATGATTTAAACGCGGCACAATACCTTTTTTTCAAACTTTGATGGGTTTGTGATAAGTTTTCACTCCTCGAGAAACTTAGCCCGAACTAAACTAATTAGAGTTAATATCTTTCCTTCTGTTTCGCTTGTGGATGACACTGTGATCAACGATATGATGTGATCTCTTTAACCAAGTGATGGTTACATTGAATGTTGAAAACTGCCCTTCTCTGCCTGCCATCACGTGTTGTTCCTCGTCACCCAATCTGTCGCTTTAACTCTCAGTGCGTGTATCCCACTGTGCACATCAATGAACAGTCATCAGTGAACAGTTTAAACTATTGATGAGCATTCAGGTACTTGGTAAACTTCAAGTTGAACACCACTCAAATTTGACTGCAGTCTTCATATTCAGATATGCTTCTCATATAAGCTACTTTGAAGGGAAATACCAGGATCGAGTTTCGCCCCCATTGGAACCAGTCAGCAGTGCATATCGTTGCCACGGAAGGATATAGGAAACTGGACATACTTTCCTGTAGTAACCGCGTTAGCCACTGCGCCACTGCCCTCATACTAAGCACGATCGAACTAACCAGTGTGAACGATCAGTTAATATCGCTTATGAGTAATGACCAGACTACTGGATCGTCTCAACAGGAGACTTAATTGCAGCCTGTTACCTCGACTCAATAACCTCGCGATGAGAACATCCGAAATAGACCCAAAACCCAAGTTTCACTAAACCTGTTAAGCAATGTGTTTGGGATTGCTGTTGACTAATCTGAAGAATAGTTAAGTTTAATTTTAGATGAGACCCGACTGTGAAAATTTAGGGATTCAGCTGGATTCGAACCAGCGACAGAAACACCATGCCTCAACGTAGCAAGCGTTCTACCAGCTGAGCTACGAAGCCACTAAGTATAAGTTGAACATCAATCACATTTGATTGCGGTCTCTCAAGTAATTCGTCATTACTCAGTACATGCTCACCACCAGTCGGATACAACTCAGATTTGGTCCCAGTTTTAGTACAAACCTCGGTTGACTCATTTCGAAGGGGAACTGTTATGAGGCGCGTCCCCTAACAAAACAGCCAGGACGCATCACGCCACATCGATCTTTTCTTATTTTCTCGGCTTGGGTCAAGCGACTGAGCGCGTATCCAAGGAGACGATCCAATATGAACTAACAACAGTTAAGTTACGATCTTTTTATTGCTAAAAAAAATCATGTACACTTTATTCTACATGGTGGACTATAACCCGCGCGAGTGACATCACAAATGACCTGTCTGAATCACTCGATGTAAACACTCGAGCACAATCTCTCATAAGTTGTTCTCAAGTAGCCTGAGCAATTCAGCACAAAAAATGTTGTTCACGTTTGTTCTAAATGATGAGCTGTATTTCTTAGTTAGGTTGACGCTGTTGGCCTCACTGAGTTTGTTGAACAGTGTTCTCTGTCGATTTGGCAATCCTAAGTATTGTTTTAGATGACGATCAAAATCGATTAATCTTGTATGCTTTCCAGAGAGAGAGAGAGAGAGAGAGAGAGGGAGAGAGAGGGAGAGAGAGAGAACGAGAAAGCGGAGGAAACCACGATGAATAAAAACAAGTATTGCAACAGTCCATCCACACACCGACCCACAAAAAGTGATGCCGTACTTACGAGTGTAAGCCACGTTGGTGGCAGACCATTATCGAGGGGATTAGAACAAACATTCAACGAGGGATGTTCTCTTTAAAGGGTCGCTTAAGACTTTTGCTAAGGTTTAAATGCCAAACACTACCTTTCAGTATTGCACACACGTGTAAAGTAGTCAATATTTTGAAAAAACGGCTGGCAACTTAGCTACGCGGTCTGTATTTCTGATTTTGTCTATCCTCACCGCAACCGGCATGATGTGTCTGGGTGGATTATTGTCATCAATGTTAGCGTTTTGTGACTGAAATGATGGATCATGGATGGTATGAGTCACGCGAACAAAGTTACGAGTGCCAGCAGATGAGATACCAGCTCTAGTAAAGTCTGTAGAACAAGGTGGAGGATCTTCTGACAGATGTCCACGGATTGGTGCATTCACGCAGTAGACTGCCTAATTGGAACATCTTATTGTGTTGTTAACGCTGTCCTACTGTGTTCAGGTAAGTATGAGAAGATCATTGGCGAATGAAGTTACCGGGTCCAGTGTTTGTTTTTGGTTTAATCAACATAGAGTATACATTGCAATTAATCGTACCCCCCCTCCCACACACACACTGGAGGTCTCTGTGGTCAAGGTGTTCGTCTCACCATTCGTCACAGGCTAGTGATTAATTTAGGCAAACTTATGAAAACCGTTGTGAACATGGTATTTCGATTTGCTCTTATTCTCCATGCAATTCAACTTGAGATTCCACATGAGATAGTGGGACGGGTGTGTAACCGAGTTCAAATGTGAAATTTCCGAGCTCGTGGCGTGGCTTCGTAGCCCAATTGATAGAGCGCCCCCCGCGTTTGGGCATGGTGTTTCTGTTGCTGGTTCGAATCCGGCTGAAGCCCTGACTTTCCATAATTGGGTTTCATCTAAAATCATAAATCTGTCAGACTACTTATTATTAATACAATTTCACTTACTCAAACGAGTCTTGTTTCGGTTTTCATCTTGGAAGATTGTGCCGGAATGTTCTATTCTTTCACAAAAACTTCACTTCAAAACGAATGCAATAAAATTTTAAACAATTTGTGCAGTGTTTCATATGATTGAGCCTGAAAAGTGGATACACAGCTTCCGTAGTTGTACCTTTCCGGTTCATTGAACGCTGTCGCCTGTTCACGGGACATGTATCAAGGAAACATCCATTTGCTTTCAGAAATATCGCGGCAATGGACCTACTCTACTCCGGGCGACGACGAGGACTTAACTTAACGCACGTGGTACGCAGGTCCATGCCCGAAGAACTGAACAGGACAGATGTTCTACTGCCGTCTGTAAGTCTAATTACTCAGAAGCTTGCCGAAATGAAGTATCAGCCGAGGACGAGCATAGGGATAGGTGCAATCTAGCCACACGGTCCTCCAGTAAACAACTGGGGCGCCGGTACGCATCGCAATTAATGCGTGCGTCATGCTCCGATTGCATCAGGAACAAACACCGGACCTGGTAATCTCATTTGACAATGCTCTTGTCATACCTACTTGAACCCACTGTGAATAACACAGAAAAATGTCCTCATTAGGCGGTCGTTTGTGCACGTGCACCTGCTAACGCACATCAGCTAGTAGTGTAGTGAGAATGAGCGATCGTAATATACTACTCCCACCACGGCTATTCAGTAGTAGGACCAGAGCATATATTTTGACATCGAACAAGCCGCTGGAAAAACGTAAGAATAGACATCGGAGTGCACCATCGCAAAAAATGGTCCTTGTTACGTAAAGAAACTGAGCGTTGGCGTCTGTGGCAACGGAGACGATCTAGGACCGAGTACCGCGTGCAAATGAGTGTTGTTGTTTGTGATTCTGTTTAAATGCTTAATCCATGTGTTACTTTATCAAATAAACAACTCTTGGACCATCCGCGTTCTTGGTTCACAACAATAGGTCTCTCATGGTTGTCTGTAGTCTGTGTGGAAGATCTGTCGCCTCCCTACATGACAGATATGTCTGACCCGCGACGGTCGGGAAGGGCACACATGTGAGTAGGTGGAGATTCACGACGAGCTGCCTATGCAAATGCATACTGCAGAAGAGCTGACCATAGCAACACAAGCCTCACAATATATGTGTAAGTTGATTGAAGCAGGTTTGTCTAATTTGAAAGGTGTATTACCATGCGGGACAAGTATTTTACCTCTTGTACCAAAACTGAGTACCATCACGATTCGTAATGGAGACGAATTAGACAGTCTATGTCTAAAATCATTTTGATCAGCTGGTTGCAGCAAGCCGCAAAGCGTTCCCAGTTTCAGAACGGATTAGCGGAATCTGGGCATGCAAAAGAAGTTGGCCAATGAAAATGTCGGCATGAACTTGTAAAGGAATGTGTGCACGGCCGTGTTAAGTTGTCACTGTATTAGGCCGTAATTTTTGAAACAGAGGGAACCAACAGGCTAATACTGTTGTTGTAATGGAATCATTTGAGGTCAATAACGTGTACTTTCCAACGATTAACAGTATTATCTCGTTGAGCTTCGGTGATATCTGGATAATAACGGATGGTGTGGAAAATAAACTCTGTTTATAATAAACTCGCTGTGTTGTTTTGGACAACAGCATGTAAAATTTTGAAAATCGGCGTGTAGGCTACAAAACGCCCAGGGGTAACGTGGTCTTTTGAATGCTGAGTGATATGTAACGGATTGAGTTTTAAAAGTCAAACTAAGCTGGATCGGTTGCCACGGTATTATTAACTACGTGATCAGTGAGATAATTAGTACAACAAATCTGTTATTCACGTTCAATACAACAAGTGGGCTGCGCAACACCAGAGACACAATTAACAACAAGCCTTGAAGTTGTCTAGCAAACAAGTTAGTGTCTCTGGACGATGTGTATGTGAATTCAATACGTACAGACCAGCCAGTAGAAAACAGCACAGTTGAAGGATGGTGTATGAAAGCAAGCCGGTATGGTGGATTTTTGTTTTTTTCAGGCCGGTGCATAAAGCAAAGTACGCATTGTCTGGGTTTGAAAGGTCACCGTGGTGTGCGTAGTGAACACTGTTTTGATTAGGAATTTGGTGGATTTGTAGCCATGGTAGGTGCAGCGCCTGAACAAACCGCTTTTGGTAACAATACCGGGGCAAGCAGCCTGATTCCGGTAGCTTTGGTAGTACAACGTGTTTTCAATCGCCTGGCTTTTGATGAGTTGCCTGACACGCGATCTACCACTTGGAAGGCTTCATCAGTGTTCACTTGGTGCACGCTTTCAATCAGATGAGCGGGAATAGCACTAATGACCGATCGTGTTCCCCCGTGCTCCAGCCAACGTGGATGGTGTTCTCGGATTTGTTTCGAAAGCTGTCTTGACGTTCGACCAATATAACCTGCTCCACAGGAACAAGTGAATGAGTAGATACAGATAGATAAGGTCTGGGCTGTCAATGTTTTTGTTATAAAACCTGAGAATTGGGAGTGTGCAGAATTGAATATGGAGTTTAGCTGTACCATAGGTCCAACTGATTGCTTGGTTGAGCCTGTTTATCAGCCATTCTACTGCATTGTCACCTTTGAACGATATATGGATGAAAACAAACGTCCTTTTTACATCCTGCACTTCAGGTTTAGGTTACTTTCTGACAATGTTTCTGGGGATAGCTGTTGTTACGAAGTACGTTCTCTATCAATTCGGATTCACCGTCTAGTATATCCGATGGACAAATTCTATATGTTCTGTTGGTCAGGCAACGCACTAGATTTCTCTTTTGCGTTTAGGAGTACAAAACTGTGAAAGTTTATGCACTGATCTGTCCAGGTATTCTCACGAGAAATCCCAAGCTGAATAGTGCCGTCTGTTCGTCGACGTAAATGAACATGTAGGGAAGATATTTGGTTTTCAACGTAAACTCAACTGAGCTAGTAGTGATACATAACGTTTACGTATCGATGATACTGACTGAACTGGCTGATGGCAGATTGATGCATGATGCGTTCAAGCTTTCTCATGAATATCTCGGACAGGAGAGGTCCGGAAGTAATGGGCATATTTGAAACACTGAGATATCACTCAACTGTTCAGCTACAAGTAGAACGTTATTACGACCGATGAGCGAGAAGGGCCAGTACAGATGATTTTCAGATATAAGTGACTGAAGACCTATCGAATGCAATAAAGAACGTATACTAAGGCGTGAGAGGTTGTTGAATAATAGAAACGCTCAGTATCAAAAAAGTAGCCAAAGGGAGGAACGTTCTGTTCCTACCTGATCAACCTTCAGCATCTGTTGATGTTGATTTTCGTAACAATGATCCTTTTTCTGCCGCCGAAGGCCACTTCACGGTGGCGACGTTTCTATTCTGGTGGTAATGGTCAGTTATTGAAAGCATTCAGTTAGACGATGGCTGAATGTTGAACCATCGGAACCTCTGCCATTCGCAACCTGTTAGAAGCTATCCAGTTCTGCCAGGGTATCCCAATTTTTGCTGCCATATATTTGTGCATTCTCACCTAGAAGGAAGTATCATTCAATATCATAATATGTTGTTATCCAAAATGGGGTGTGATGTTCGAACGTGGTAACTGATGGCATTCAAGACCTTTGAGTTTGTTGTATAGTGTACCGCGTCACTAGTCAGTTGTCTGACACAGGGGAACCGAAGGACGGCTCTGGACGTAAAGACGACCTGGAACTGAAAGCGACTATTGAAAACGTGTAAATGCACTGTACCGGCGTGTCAACAAGGAGACTGGCGGTGCACTACTATGAATAGAAACGGGCCGTGCGAAAGTGTTTGTGTTCGTGGTTATTTATTTTTAAATACCTCCTAATGAATGTTCAGAAATAAACAACTTTGCTGATCAACCTTATTTTGATACCGCAGCAAGCTGTTAACACCACTCTTCCTCACGTTCTATCTGTTATAGTTTCAAACGTGAATGCCCATGACCGGATAACCACATTCTAATACAGTTATTTCCGATCCGTTCACTTCTGGCAGGACCATCGACTATTGACGAATTGAGCGAGATTACGGATTGGCAAGAGTTCAGTTGTATACCTCTCCATATCATTTTTTAAAAGCGTTACGAAAGTGTCAATCTTACAAGCTGATGAATTAGTGTGCATCTCACTGTAGTTCATTGTGGTAATAACAGGTGTTGCTGCATGAACTTTCAAAGTCGAACAGTCAGGTAAATCTCAGTGTGTGTCAAACATAGATGATATTCTCTCCTAGTTTACTTCTTTCGTTCAAATTAGCAATCAAAGGTAGTGAACCAACCTGGAAATATGTATTGGCAAACTTTCTAGAGATTCTCCCTCGCCTGACTGAGGTTCAGAGCAAGCTTATGTTATTACGCGAATATCGACTGGTCAGGTTTGTGTACTTTCTACGGTCAAACGTAGGGTGGATTTTGTTTTTGGCGTTTGTTAACCTGCAGTTATTGCGATTTATCAAGAATGCTACGATCAGCAAACTCTGATATGGTTCGAACAAAAAGGCGTATTACGAGGAAGGTTGACTTGATGACACACAGTGTGTTGGCTGGACGGCCCGTCAAGCAGGAAGTGTTTTGACAGCCTACAGGATATGGGGAAATCACTAGCGGTGCACTTTCTTAAATGAAGGTCCGTTGTTCTGTTGACTCTACAGTAGTCTGGAGAGGGGGTGTAACAATAATCCCATTCTGCTATAACTTATTTGAAGGAATACCGTGATACTTCGACTACAGTTTATTAGTCCACGTTTCGGTTACCCAACCTTCATCCGATTTGTTAAACACAGCAATCGTTGCAGTGATGTAATCATTTGTTTAATATATGAATGAAACATAATTGAAAATCGACCGCATATGATTACTGAGAAAGAAAATAATCCGAGTCAAGTTACCGATACAAATGG